GAGAGGTGGAGCTGGGACCGGCGCCACCAGGACTTCGATCTCTGTAGGAAGCCACCGCCTCTCCCCAAGCTGCTCCCATCTCTGTCACCGAAGCCTGTAACAGGTAACAGATGAGACCTTTACAAAGCTGCGCCTCCTGAGGCTGTCAGCAGGCAGGAAGTTGGCCACTTGGTATCTTCAGCAGTAGCTGTTTTGTTCTAGATGTCCAAACTTGCCATGACAGGAAGTCAAGATTCAGAATGGGCCTGGTATAACAGATTGCAGGCTGGGCTGGAACTTAGGAGACGCGATTCTAGTTCCAGCTGTAATACGAACTTGCTGTGTGACTTTGGCCAGGTCCCTTCACTGCTCGGGGCCTGGTTTCTTAGGTATAAAATGGGGAAGTCGGAAGACAAGTCTAAGGGCTTGCTGAGCTTCAACCCAGACTGGCCTCTCGATGGTCAGCCAACAGATGGGGGCAGAGGCTCTGGGCTTTACTGGGACCTTCCAACTCCCTTCCAGCTCCAAGACACTGACAGTTGTCCCTCTGTGGGGGAGGGAGTCTGGAAGCCTGAGTCTTGCCACCAATCCCTCGGAGTCTTCTTCATCCCTCTGTTTATGAAGAGGGACCACAAAATCATTTATAGGTCAATAGAGAACCCAAATCTGTTGGTTAACAGAGCCAGAACCTTTGTTCAGGGATAGAGAGAGAAGTTTATCTGGCAACAAGGTTTGCCAGAGAAACCTTCCCAGAAAGCAGGATCAGATAAACAAGATGGACTGACTTTCTCCCCCGACTCCCGAGGGCAGCTGATAACAGCTCCATGCAACAGAAGAAGTGCTGACAAGCTGCTGAAATTTCTCTCCCCTCGCCTGGACCTTGCTGCTTCCCTTCAGGACAGGCCCTAGGCTCAGAGTCACTGCTGGAGTCCAGCCCAGGCCTGCCTGACTGGCCAGAGTGCTCCTGGTGGGCTCCACCACAGGCCTTCCCAGCACGAGTTCCCTGGGCATCTCAAGCAGCCTGTCTATACTGCTGAACAGGTATCACAAACCCATGCTGGGGCCTCCTCCCCACGTGCTGTGTAAGAAAAACTCAGAAATGGCAGGTGAGAAGGGGAGACTTGAACTGGTGGCCTCGGCCTTGTAAACTCAGCTAGATGAAGAGAGAACCTGCTGCTGACAGGGGACTTACATGCCACAAGGCCTACAGCTGAAGCCCCCTTTCCTGAGGGCTGTCCAGAGGGGGCAGGGTCTGAACGGCCACTTCCTAATGACCCTTAATACCTCCTTGCCAACAAAATACTTTGAGAACTTTGGGTTTCATTGGAAAGTTATTTCCAAAGTCACTATATCTGTAAACTTTTGCTTTTTGAAGATAAGTTACCAGAACCCTGGAAGAATGCTCAGGCCAACCCTCTAAGCCAGCTCAGTTGTCAGCGTCCCCAACCTCCTCTCTATTTCTGTCATCACACCAGGTTGTGACTTATACTTGGAGGGAAAGAAGAGAGGCTGGCCTCCCCCTCCCACTTTAAGGCAACATCTACAAGGGGCTTTTTGGAGCCCCAGACCACCCAGGAACCAGACCATAGCTTGAAGCCTGCCAGCATGAACACGCTGGGACCCAGTGTATCTAGCAACTAACAACAGACAAGAGAAGTGCAAAGGCCTGTTAGTGCCACCCAAAGACACCTTCATGTCCTCACTTTAAGAGTGGAGGCCGATCCTTGTAAAGAAAGCAAAGAGCAAAGCCCAGGCAGGAGTGAGCATGTGCTGCCATAGACCAGGCCATGCGGTTTTCCACCCATCACCTGAGAGGGATCCAGGACAGGGCTCACGACCCCCCACAGCACCGTAGCCCTGGACTGGGCACCTGCCCCTCGGCTGTCTCTCTCGGCCCTCTTCTCACGGAGTGAAGACAAAGGGCACTGGAAGTCACCACCAAAGGCTGGACCTCAGGCTCACGCTGCTGTCCATTAAAGGCTGGCCGAGGAAAACGTGACAATACAGCAGAGGCTAGAAGGGTATACACAAACTGCCGTTTTATGTTCTTTTTTGTTAAATCGTTCCTGGCATGTGTTTTAAGTGCATTTTGCTCTTAGTTTGAAAGAGTGACATGGACGCAGCACTCAGGCTGTTTCTCGGAGAATACATGGTCTAGGAGAAATGGCTATCCATGCCAGAAACAGGTCCCCACCAGCCTCAGGCCACGGAGGCAGCAGCACAAGCCCCAGTTTCTACGGTGACGTCTCAACTGGCAGAAGAGCCTCCAATCCCAGGTCTCAGCAATTCCACGTGCTCTCCGTCTCTGTGGAGAACCTGGGGTCCTGTCAGGCAGCAGTGCCTGCGGGTCACAGCCTAGAAGAGGCTCCCTCAGGTCAGAAGAAAGCCCTTCCGGCGAAGACTGGGAAGAGACAATTCAACTTGTAATAACCCCAAGTTCTCCACCTTCTGGAAAAAGAGTGAGTTGGCCTGGGGGCAGGAGGGAACAGCGTCCTTCTGCTTCAGGATGTCCTGTCCAGAGGGTGGGCACAGACATAGGCTCGCTTCTCTAGGACCTGTTGGGACACTTTCCTAATCTGTTCATCTAGGTTTTCTGGAGCATCTGGGGGGGAAAAAGAGAGAGGAAGTGATGCGTCTGCAGTGTGGTAATAGAAATACGGCTGCGGCTGGAGCACTTCTTTCCAGTAAGGTCTGCCCACCCGTTGTGAAGGAGCGGGAGATGACCCCCTCCTCAAGCCCCTGGAAGTGATCCTGGGCTGCAGGGAGAGGAAGGGACGGAGGCTTCGTTCCAAATAACAAAGGGCTCGTCCCTAAAAGCGCCAGATCTCATGGGAGAAGGGGTGGGGAGAAGGCACTTGCTCAAGGAAAGACTCCTCTGCGATTTAAGTCTGCTGGAGGAGAAACCGCTTCTTCACCCGCCCCAGCATGTGGCAGTCATGGCAGCAGCCAGGGCCGGAGCTACAAGGGATCATGAAGCCCTCTGCTCAGCGAGTGCGGTAGCGCTGGCAGTCTCCCTGCCATCTCCTGGCGAAGGGCTGGGCTCAGCAGCAGACACGGTACAGAGCCTTGGGGCCGCCGGGGCTGTGAGGGTCAGGAGAATCTGAGCTGGATGTTCTCAGCCGTGGCCAGGTGGCCGTGGAGGAGGAGGAGCAACTCCAGACAAGCTGAGCAGTAGGAGCAGAGCCCCTGCGCGGCCCAGGCCGGAGCCTGAGGCCCTGCGAGAAGGGGAGGTGCACTTCAGCTGCAGCGCAGGCAGCGAGGCGGCAGGGCAAGTGCCTCCTTCCTTTGCGAACCTCACTGGGCAGACGCCAGCAGGGCCCGCCCGGGGCTCTGACGGCCCTCATCTGCCGCTGTGCTCCTGCCCAGCAGGCCCTGCTGCAGGGAAGTGCAGGCCTTACCAGCCTTCTCTCTAGGCAGAAGTTTGTGAGCAGCCAGCAGGCCCTGGGAGCCTGACGGTCCAGAAACGGCGGTCAACAGTCGCCTGGAATAGGGCCCTCTCCTCCCTCCCCCAAACCACCCCACTTACACTTGTCCAGCTGAGACAGGGCGAAGAGATTCTGATAATAAGCTTCCGTGCAGAACATGTTGGCCAACAGAACCTGCCAGAAGCAAAGTCAGAGAGGACGACCACTGAGAACCCTGGGACCTCTGCACCATAGGGCACACTCTCCCTCAGTGTCTGACCTCTGAGTTCAAAGAACTCAGTCTGGCAGCCAGACTGTGAGCTTGGCCAGGGTCAAGAGGCCTGGCTCAGAAGTCACACAGTCTGAGGCTCTAATTCCAGCCCTGAGCCAAACTAGCTCTGTCCCAACGTAGCCTCAGTTGCCTCCTCTGTGAGAGGGACATCATAATCCCCGTGGCCACAGGCTACTGGGGGACAGTGCATGTAAAGACCCGGTACACAGTAGGCACTCAATGTCTGCATCCACCCCTTCAGCAGGGTGAGGAAGGCAGACAGGGTGAGGGCACTGGGTTTGGGACCCATCACTCACCCACCTTCTTCTCTCAGGTTGGAAGACAAAAGCACGTGGCCCCTGTCCTGAGCAGCACAGACCCTCCCATGACCTCACCATGGGCCACAACCCAGCAAACTCGCCACCATCCGGGTCAGCTGCTGCGCCGACCTCGCGCTCCACTCCCTCTGGGACCGCCGCTAGGCGCCAAGGCCCTTGATTCGCCCCCCAGACTCCCTGGCTGTGCCGTGCCGCCCAATGACCCCCACCCCCACCCCAGCAGCCTCGTTAAAGTGCAACAGGACAAAGCTGGCAGGGAGGCTGCCTGTGGGGCCGGGTGGGATGGGCTCACCTCGTGGTCGTGGTTCCGGAGCCCCACTCGGATTGAGCGGCTGGCACGCGACAGCACGGCCGTCATGCCATACAGGTTGATGAGGATGTTAGCCACCCGCTTCAAGACCATCTGCTCCTCCACGATGGTCTGGGAACAGAGGCCCAGGGTGAAGATTTGCTGCCTTGGACCCCGCACACACACAGTTCCTCCCCTAGGTACATCCTCACCCATCTCTGCGCCTCGCTTTATGCCTCAGGGGAGGGGGCTAATGCTGCCCTGCCCTTCGCGTTGGGGGAGGCTGGCTCACGGCTGCCTTCTCTTTTCCCTTTGCTCTGTCTAGATTTGGGCAGCGGTTAAGGCAGGACCAGGTCCCAGACCCCTGGCTGAGACCAGAGGCTGGTGCTTCATATCCCCTTCAGCAGCAAGATCCTCAGACATCAGGTCCCAAGATTCAGGCCCAGGTGGGGCTGCCCCTCCCAACTCCAGGGAGCCCCCCCTTCACCTAGAAAGTGCCCACCCAGCTAGCTGAGTGGCCCCCAGGACAGCCAGCCACAGCCAGCCTCGCCTCCCCAGGCCCCCCTCCACGGTGGCCAAGAGTTCTTTCTAGGCCTGGTCCCGAAGCTGGACACTTAGCAAAACATCTTGGAGGGCCTGCCGCGGCCCCAGGTCTGGCAGGGGCCCGAGCACCTTGCCAAAGCGGAGCAGCAACGTCTCCACGGTTCGGCCAAAGTAATACACGTTCTCCTCGAGCTTGCTGGCACTGTCCTAGGAGACCAGAAGGGAGGACTCGGCTCAGTACCTCCCCACAGTGCCCGTCCCGTCCCACCCAGACCGGGCATGGCAGGGGCCCCGGGGCCCAGGCCCTGCTAACAGGCCGGGCTGTTCCCCATCATGACAGCGCAGAGAGTGGGGATCAGGTGTCACTTGGACTGACCCTCGTCACATCCATTCCGGGAAAGGATTATCCAACAGAAGGGCACCCAGGTGGGGCACACCTGCTGAGCCCACTCACCGCAACACTGGGGTGCACAGCTCCAAGCTTCCCCGTCAGCCCCAGGTCCACAGTTCGGCCCAGGGAGTCTCGAAGCCTCCGGCCAATGGTCTCCATGATGGTGGTCACATTGCCCCGTTTAAGCTCACTGCAGACAGGCCCCAGCCCCATGACCTGAGGCCCTGCTGCCAGCTCCCAGTGCCCCGCAACACGGTCCCCCTCGGTACCCCCAAAGCTCCAGGGCACCTGCTCCCTCTCCCCAACTACACAGAGCCACAAACGGCCAACTCAGGACCTACGTGCCCCTCCCCCCTGTCCTGGGCCTGCTGGATGCCTGGCTGCAGGCAGAGCCCTCCCAGCCCGTCAGAAAGCAGCCAGTCTCCTCTGAGGTGGAGCCACACACAAGTGCTTCCTCCACAAGGAGCCAAGTCACAGACAGCTTCCAGGTCATCCTCTCCTGTTAAGGGGTCTTCAGAATGCTCTGAGCAACCCATACTTGGGCTCCAGCAGTGATTTCTAACTGCTCTAACCCCAGGATGGGGGTCGAGGGGAGCAGGAGAGAAGAAACTGGTCTTACGTTGGCCTCTGAGCCTGGCACCTGTGTGAGGGGCACCTCTCACTCCCGGGTTCTAAAAGCAGAGCTTCCTGCAGTGTGGGAGGCGGGGGCTGCCCAGGGAGAAGGCAGGAAGGCTGCCCTAGGCAGCTGGCCCTGTCCTCACCCACAGGTGAAGCCGAGCTCTGGACCCTGCCTTTCAGGGCCCCACACTCACCGCCAAGTCTCCCGCCTCCTTCCCTCCCTCCAGCCTCGTTTGGAGCAGGGCCGGCCCGCCCCGTCCTGGGACAAGGCGGCCCCTCCTCTTGCCGCCCCAGCACGGCCTCTTCCGGGCAGGTGGGACCCGAGGAGCAGACAGTGGGAATGGCACCTACTTGACCCTCGCAGTCAGGACGCGGCCAGCGTGCTGCAGGCCTGTCAGGGCGATGTACATCCGCAGGATCTCGTTGGTTCCCTGTGGCCAGCAGTATAGAGGTCAAAGGCCGCCCCCCTCGGGGCAGCCCCAGCAGCGCCGTGTGTGTGACTGGGTAGGCCACGCCACTGCCTGCTCACCCGCACTGTGGAAGCCACTGCTTTGAAAACAGCCAGGAGTGGGGCTGCGACTAGGGGGTCAGGGCAACTCGTAGGCTACCACCTCCACAGGGACGAGTGGGAGGCTGGCAGATGGCCGTGGCCTCCCTCTGGGGCCTACCATCTCTCCCTGACCAATCACATGTGGGTCATTCCTTCCTCAACCCTCGGACTCTGCTTCTTTGTAATGGCAGAAACGGCTCTCCCCAGCTAGAGAGAGATGCTGATGCCCAGGACACGGCAAGTGCTGGGCCACGCTGCTGGCTCTCGTCCAGGCCAAATTCCCCAGGGAAGCCACAGACCGCTGAGGAGGGGCAGCTGGCAGCTCTGCTCCCCAGTGCCGGGTGTCAATACCCAGAGGGCCACCTCTTCCCTGCTGCCATCCCTGGCCACCGCCCCTCACCACCCAGGATTTCATCTGATCTCGAGGAGGCAGGCTGTGGAGCCTGTGCCCATCGTGCACCATGGTGCTGTGGGTCAGAGGGGAGGGGGCTGGCCTCAGGCCGCACAGCCAGCGCTGGGCACTGAGCCCTCCAGCCAGGCTGTGCCACTGATGGTGAGACTCCTGCAGGAGAGGCAGAGGGAGGGTGGAGGCCTCCAGGCTAACCCTTGCCCCGTCCTGAGCAGTCTCGATGGAACCATCTGCTTCATGCCAAGGGCCCCGCACCCCTCAGAGCTTCCCGAACCCCTGCTGACCACCCCACCCAGGCCGAGGGGAAGGGGCCCTGGAAGAAGCTGTCCTGGGGCAGCAGGGCCGTGACTGTCCCAGTGCCCTTGGGAAAGTGCCCCTTGTACCCTCAGGCTGGCTGCACCTTCTGTCCACTGAGGGGCAAGACACAGGGCTGGGACATGTGGGCCACACAGGGAACAAAAGCAGTCAGTGAGGCCTTCCCCTTGGTGGGGGAGCCCAGGAGTAGAGCCCCAACTGCGGCCAGTCTGAGGGTGCCCCTCGGAAACCACACCACTTGCTCAGGTGCCAAGCCTCGCACTTACCTAAGGGTCTGCCTCCTGCGCACCCTACATCCGTCCCAAGATCCTGGCCATCCTCTCTCCACAGCCTCTAAGTCCACCCCTTCCCTTCCCCTCTGGGCGCCCTGGCCTCTGGTCTCACCTCTGCAAGCCACCCCCACATGAGCCTTGGGGAGTTTCCTAAAACGCAAATGCCACCAAGTCAGTCCCTGCTCACAACCCTCTTATGGCTTCCACCGCCCTCACAGTGAGATCCAGATTCCTCTGCTTACCAGCCAGCGTCCTCCACAACCCGGCCACTTGTCTCTCCTTCCCGTCCACCCCTCCCCCAGCCCCGCTGAGCAGGACTGGCTGCCGCTCCCACACAGACTTGCTTGTTCTCCCCGCTTTTGCCTAGTGCTGGCAGGTAGGGTCCTACCTGGGCCTGGCACGTACTGTTTCCCTGCCCTCAGCCCAAACTGCCCTCCTCTGGGCCTGGTCAAAGTCCTCTCCGCCCTCAAGGGCCAAGGGCACTTACTTCATGAGACTCGGAGCCCCTCTGGGAGGAGGTGCACCTCGGTCCCTCACTGCACCAGTATTCCAGTGTCCTCCTCGGTCAGTCAGGCCGTCCAGCCAGACGAGTGCCCCAAAGGCGTCTGTGGCTCCAACCCCCTCTTTCTTCCTTGCCCTCAGATCCCCACCTGGCACACGCTCACTGAATGGACTCTAGGCTTGTGAACTCACAGGGGCTGGGCTGGGCAAGCCCTCAGAGATGACCCTGCTGAGCTGCCCCAATAGCCTGAGAAGGAAACCCAGAC